GGGATGGACCATGGAAGAAGGTGGGTTTAATTGTCCCATGACGTATTTCTTCCGATAAAACAATGCACTTCATATCATAGACAAATTCAAGGTTTAAATCTTATGACAGTAAAAACCTTTGTTTAAGTCAATCCAATCCATCAGAGTAGTTTGGAGGGAGTCTAGAGTCTCGTAAGTGACGTTCTGGGTGAATTGACATGCCAAGTTTAAATAATAGTCACGAAGTTTTGAAGAATGAGTGATTTGAACGGTTCAAATATTAACCAAAAACGACAAGATAGGGGCATTTACGAAATTGAAAAATTACTATACAGCAAATACTATGTAATAGTCTTGATATTCTAAAAAAAAAAGGATCTATAACCCGCAATATTTGAAGGGACAATGGAAAATCATGTCCACTTATGCTTAATTAAGCTTAACCAAACAACTTGGATTAAATTAAAAAGCTAAATAACAATGTGTTATGAATATGATTACACATCAAGAAGATAGGTATATATATATATATATTGCACGCCAATCTCCTATTAAAAATACTAATGCTTTTATTAGATGGTGTGATTTGTGTTTTTACAAATACAAAAAATTATGTACTTTCAACATCCCATCATTGCAGATTATAAAATCAGAGACATACTCTTTGGCACAATATAATTGATTGAAGGAAAAAATATGAGTGCATAAGTGCATGCTTGCTTGCTTGTGTTAGCATCTCATTTAGTATAAAAGTTTTTTTTTTTTGAACTCAAAAAGGGAAGAGGCGACCAATAGCTAATAACCCCCGCATAGGCGTGACCATGAGGATCCCTCACTATGGAATGTCTGATTTGAGCTATAGTTACTAACCCAGAATGGTTGTTCGTCACCACAGCACCAATAAAGCTAAATAACAACAATAAAGTTAAACAGCAAAATGTGTTATTCCCTTGAATCAAATTCTACTTAATAACCATATGAAAGTCAGGAATGACCCTAAATGAGTACAACTTACCANCTGCACCCTTGGAGCTACATGGGGCTGGTCTACCACAAAGAATGACATGATAAGAAATGCACACTTCTTTGGAGACACAACCACATTGAACTGGCATGTTATTGTTTTCAAAGGCTGTGTGAGAAGAGATTATAGAATCCTAAGTTGTTGATTAGGGTATTTTTTTTTTTTGGGGGGGTAATGAGGATTCGATTCATCAACATGTTCTTCGAATTCATAAACATAAAGTAATCATTGGATGCATGCAACACTCATAAATCACACACATCGATAAAAGTCAGATTTATGTTTGATGGTTCGAACTCAGAACATGTAGATTTACGTCTCATATATATTTTGTCCGATCATTGAATTAATCCGTACGAGTTGTTGATAAGGTTTCAAGAGTGTTGAAAACGAGAGCTAAATGTTGCATGGTTGGGTCCATGCCAAATAGATATTTTTCGGGCAAAGAAACATATCATTCTCATACAAGAAAAGCCAGTAAACCATGTCTTGTTTTTTTCTTCTTTGGTTGTAAAGGCAATTTTCAACTAAGATTCCAAGACAGAGAGAAATGTCCAACTGTGTCAACCAAACAATATTATCACTTGTTATTTCCAACATGAACGTGAACACATTATGCAGATGTCATAAATGATTGGTGTGCAACAAAAGAAATGCTTAGGGTTTAAGGTCACACACACACAAAAAAGAAAAAAAATCATTGATGAGTTTGTCAAATCCGGGGATAATCTATAAAAAAAAAGTCCAAGTTGAATGCTCAAATCATATTTAAAAAAGAACGGTATAAGATATAGGAGGGTTTAATACTTTAGTGAACTAGCTCAATAATTTTCTAAATGATAAACATCAGCAAACTATTTAACGACAAAAATTTTGATTTTCTATTTTCTCTCTAATCAACTCTGTCCCCACATATCCCTTAATCTTACTTTTATTTTCTCTAATTTGTCTTTAATTATTTTGTCTACTTCCTTATTATTTCAATACCTTATTAGAATATATATATTATAGTTTATTAATTATATACAAATTTCTAACTCCGTGGCCTCGAGTTATCAACTTTCTCAAATTTTTTTATTTTCATTATTTTTTGCCATGGAATACATAAAAAAATAAGTCCAATCCAACCACTAAAAGCATCTCTAACCTTAATTCAAATGTAGACTCAAATTTAAATTTGAGTCAAAATGGCTTAAAAGATTTCTTCAATGTTAAACTTAAACCTATATCAAATTAAGACAAAACTTATTCTAGACCCAAATTGAAACAGACTTAAATATTATACCAAATTTCTAATGGTAACTTTTTAACTTATTCAAAACTAAAATACCTTTTCAACAACTTGTTCTCTGACTCTTCTTGCCTCTCTCTATTACGCTATTTCCATCGCTGAACACCACTGAAACTTTCACAAATCATTTCAAGGCATGTATGTAAGTTTTTTTCCTTTTCATCCCTTCTTGATTTCTTATATTTTTTAAAACCCTAATATCACCAATCTTTCATACTATATAAACTCTAATCTTACCCATAATTTTTTTTTGATTTTTTCGAGTTAAACACTATCGCTATTACAATTTCAGACCACCGATTCTTCCTGAAATGTTAAGCCTTCACTACCCACAAATTTAAAAAACTTGTCATTTTTATTTCGTCAATTTTTTATTTTTGTTAGAAACGTATGTTTTTGTGTTATCAGACCAGACTCGTGTCAAAATAGTTATATATATATTTTTTCTTTTTCTTTATCTGGATTTATAAAAAATGATAAGAAATTAGAACAATCTTAGAGTTCTGAAGTGGTTTTTTTATTCTTATGTAGTGTTGTATACATATTTGTTTTTTTTTTTTGAATTACCTATTTGTGAAGAAATATGAAAGTTTCATTTATTTTATCAAATATTATGATTTAAATGACACAAAAAATGAGTTTTGGGACAATAAGAATTTTTTTTAAAAGATTTGAGCAGATATTTGAGCTTGTCCATTGAAGTACTCTATACCAAATCAAGTTTTTTACTCAAATTTATACTCAAATTTGAATCTAAATTTGAGTCATGATTGTAGATGTTCTAATAAACAACATTATACAAAACTTGCATGTGCAGATTTTCCACATTTTAAATTATAAGTTATATTAATTTTTAATTTGTCTTAATGTTATGCTTATTAAAAAAAAAGAAAAATTATCCTAGCAAAGTGAGTCTTCTTGGCTAACTAGTTTTGGAGTATTGAGGGTTATTAGCAAATGGTTACATACAAAAACAAATTTGAAACTATAGATCAAAATAATTCACATACGACTTACGTGTGTAGCAACTAATTTTCTAAAATGACAATAAAATTATAAGGATCGAGAGGCAATTCACCCACCCGACATGATTACCCCAATTGTAGTACAACTTAGATTAAAAAAAAAGAATAATGTTATTTAGACATAAAAATTTGATCTAATTTATTGACATAATGATGTGGCTGCATATGAATTATTGAATGAGCACCAAATTCCAATGTTTGATGGGACCTGCAGTCAATCCAAAGATCACAATAAATTAGATCAGTAAATTGTGTCAGTAAATTAGGTCCCAATAGCATTGCTCAAAAAAAAAAAAATGTTCTTGTATGTTGGGAGTTTGCCCACCAAGTTTCCTTTCTTATGTTTGGATGCAAACTTGTTTTTTTTTTTTTTTCAATAGTCAGGAGTATCCGAGTCAACTTACTCGCAATGATCAAAATATCATTTCAAAACGGTTGAAACGTCTGAAACGTTTTAGTGATGAAATTAAAATTCTAATATTTCGAGGTATTCTATAATGTTTCGAGATTTTTTATAAAATTTCAATGCATTTGTACAATTATTTCTGAATATTTCAAGGTTTGTTAAGAAATTTTGATATATTTTGATCAATATTTTAGAAAATTAATTCTTAAATTTTTTATTTTTTCATTATGTTTTTGAAATGTGTCGAAAGGTTTCCAAAATAAATCGAAACGTTTTCATTTCCTAAATGACTGTAAAAATACATTAAAACGAAATTTTAATCCTTCCTTACGCGCACCTCAACTACTATTTTTTCCGGTTTGTCAAAAGCAGGTCATCCACGTCAATCAAAATTAAAATATTTATGAAGGATAAATTCCCTATACCCCCAACTCCATATNACGTCAGTCAAAATTAAAATATTTATCAAGAATAAATTCCCTATACCCCGACTCTAGAGAGTTGCCTTTAGCAAGTCTCATAAATTGGACATTGAAGTGGGCTAAGTAGTTGTTTCCCACCCACTGAGAATTTTGTCTTGCTAATGTAATGTGAAGGGATTTCTCAATTTAACATGATTGGATGGAGACTATGATAGTGTAATCCTCCAATCGACTCACATCCAAGATTTTGGATCCAATCTTGCCCATTTTTTGGGTTCAACAGTCTAAGTATATTTGAATTAACTTACACACACTTCAATNTCTTGCTAATGTAATGTGAAGGGATTTCTCAATTTAACATGATTGGATGGAGACTACGATAGTGTAATCCTCCAATCGACTCACATCCAAGATTTTGGATCCAATCTTGCCTATTTTTTGGGTTCAACAGTCTAAGTATATTTGAATTAACTTACACACACTTCAATTAATCATTCAATTAATCTTGTTTTTATCATACATAAAAGTCTCATAAAAAAAAAGATTCAATTACCGAAATTAATCTATACCTGTAGATTTTAATGTGATTAAATTGTAACCATTGATTACAAAAATGATGAAATAATATCAAAAATAAATTTAAAAACAAATGTGTCACGTTTTTATTACATAAAATATAAAATAATGATATTAAAAAATAATTTCCGACTACAACTCTAAAAAAGAAAAAGAAAAAAAAAAANCCGTGACAAAATATAGCTTTTATTTCACAAAGCATAATCACAGGAGCAAGAATACAAATCAAAGGAGCATAATCCTCTGAAACAGCAACGGAATATAAGTATTATTTCACAAAGCATGAGTACAAATTCCCCATTCATCTAATCTTTAATTTTCTAGCATCTTTTTTCACTAAAAGAGATTGGATTCTCAAAGAACAAATAGTTATGGTGATTTAACAAGATCCAGGGATTCACTGCATAGTTTTTCTGTTGACACAAAAATTACATTGGTAAATGAAATTTAATGAACCAGACTTGCATAATCTAAGAAATGCACACTTAACTGGAATAAAATACAATACGGAAGAATCTTTTCTAGCATAAAATCTGCTAATCTCTACCTGGAATTGATCAAGCTGGGGAATGATAACAATGACACACCTAGTAGCAATCTTTCTCTTTATCATGTAATCAAAGAAACTATCTCAAATGCCACCAGTTCCAAGAGGCTGCCTTGAGGTGTCACCTGAAGCCCATGCTTGATAGTCCTTTACTAGCTGCATAGAACCAAACTATCAGAGCACAGGGAATTTGAAACTCTTAAGCACCAACAATATGTCAATCGAAGAGCTCACCAATGCAATCCTACATAGTTAATAGTGCAGAACAAAAAGTTTGTTTACTGAACAAAAAATTCTGTAGGTTTCAGATGCCAATTCCCAAAGCAGATCAATAAAGCTTGTTTTAGCAATAAACTGTAGTCCAGCTCAGGAAGGAGTCCAATTACAAATTTAGCCTACAGAAGAGTCATATTAATGAAACAGCAACATTCAAAGTTATCTGATTTCCTATGTCTTCTAGATTTATCCTGGTTTGATGTTCTTCAATGCAACATATAGTTAGCATTTGAAACTTCTTTGAATACCATAGTACTGAATGACAAGCTATTTGTCAATGTATCCACCTCAAAAAAAACAAAAAAAAACTCAAATCCACAAAGTACCTAAAACTAACAGCAAGAACAGACACTATGCAAGACCCGGAATACACTCAATTTTTCCAATCCACATTTTGAGATACACCAGCTTCCCAAAACCTCAGAAAATTAAAATTGGCATCGTGATTGCATTTAGGGAAGTACTCTTCCTAATTCACAATGTAATGATGGAGTTACAATAGAAAGTCAATAACCTCGTGGGTAAACCTTTTGACTTTATCTCTGTCAACTGAAGAACCGAATGGAAATCCAGCCTCATCAATTTTTTGTTTCCTTGGAGTTTCTTTGCACAATCCCCTGATTGATTCTTCCTACATAATTATCTTTTTCATCTTATTGGCAAAGCTCAAAAAAACTCTTCTAGACTAAATAATTGTATTCAAACTGTTAAGTTTAGAGCGTTAACACAATATTAGAGAGAGACGGAGAGTGGTCAAAACTTAACATACCTCTTACAAATCATTTGTATTTATAGTTATCACGTAATCATACAAAAGATGAGCATATCCTCTTTATGGTATACGTATTACAACCAATATTTACATAATAATACCCTAATACTCTTAACACAAACAAATATCCTAAGGATTTCTAACCATAAATGCAAGTCATTAGGTATTAAATTCAGAGCTACAGCTTGGCCCAAAATATCTCATCTAACCAAAGATCTTCAAATTCAAAGCTTCCATCCTGCTTTTCAGCTGGACAGATTTTACCTCCAAAAGACAAATCTTTCTACCAGGCAGTTTTCTGCATAACTTTGCAGCATTACCTTCTTGCAAAATAACTTTCTGTCACAATAAAACACAATGAAGAAGCAAATAGTCTTGAGCTATTGTAAAGCTTTTTATTTTTATTTTTTTTCACAGCAGAAATTAATTGAAGCTTTTAATGTGCCTGACTTATCCCCACAGCCACATGAATTCCTCCCATTCCACATGCTTGAGAACATTACCAGCATAAATCCATGTGGGTGCTCCAAGACCTCCAAGTAACCCATTGGGGATCTCGAATACAACATGATGAAAGCTGCCTTTTAAATAATTTGGAATTCTACATTCTGGCTAGGTTAAACGAACAAAAACCCATTATTTAGTACTGTCTGGCCAATGCATGGTGTTGGGAAGGGTAAACNTACCTTTTAAATAATTTGGAATTCTACATTCTGGCTAGGTTAAACGACCAAAAACCCATTATTTAGTACTGTCTGGCCAATGCATGGTGTTGGGAAGGGTAAACTACCTACAAAAACAACCATTGACAGTTTTAGTAAGGTGGTGGCTCTCAGACTTTTATCTGCTCTATTTCACATGGCAACCTGACCATTTGTTACAACTTTAAGTAATCGCCCCTATAACGGCTAGCTTTAACTGAATGCACAAACTTAGGTTTTAAAAATTCCATGACTCCATGAACTTATGCTTCCTCACAAAATATTATAAGTTTCAAGAGTATTTTATTGGATTCTAATTTGCAACAATGATTACCTTCTCCACATCCTTGTGAAAGTTCGCCTTCCATTTCAAAACTTGACATCATCATATTTCTAAATTTTAAGGACAAGTCGAGGGATGGAGGACATCAAAGATGGAGTCAGACTAAACAACAGATTGAATATGCTTAATTGCTTTTGAAAAGCAACTCCATATTGGTCACGACCAGACCTATTATTACTTGAACTGCCAGTTTAACAATCTGACTCATTGAGTATGAACAGTCATAGACTAGATAATATAAGTTTAGAATTTAACAAATGCAATGCATAGATGTATTGGTCACGACCTGTTGATGGTATGCATCAGATAAGTGGTTTCAACTCTTGCCATCCTGATAGGGATTGCAAAAGAATGTCATAAGTTTGAATCGAAGATTTGGATGTTATATTCCCTGCATCACATCCCCACACCTTCAGTCCGTCATTCTCACAGCTGATGGAAGCCAGTTTGGCTTGAGAATTAAGTTTCATTTTCTTTTCAAAATGCAATGATACAAAGGCTAGTTTGACATGTTGAAAATAAAAATCATTTTCGTCAACAATTTCCAACTGGCAAAATAACCATAAAAGAAATTATCTAACAAGAGTTCTAAATAGAGTTTTCAAAGCTTTACAAAAATTTGAAAGATACAGAGTAGGTACTGTTCATCATATGCCATTCCTTGGCATGACCAACTACCTCCACATGAAAGATTCATAAAAAAGTACTCCCAGTGAAATCAAAAAATTGGGGTCGGACATTATTACCCAATCAAAATTCTAATAGAAAATTCAAGTGAGATTCAAACAAATAGCCAGAGGATCAATCTAAACTAAAAAGGGTGGAGAAACCATATGATTTGGATCCTTCATAAAAAAGGATTACGAACATGAGCATTCCTGCCACTCTCTGGTAACCTCCGTGTGCATACGTGAGAAAGAGGGAGAGGGAGAGGGAGAGAGAGAGAGAGAGAAAAGGGTGTGAGGAACTAATATATTGATGAGGATAGTTCTCCTTAAGTGCCTAGAACGCACGTTTTGAACCCTCTCCCCATCAANAAAAGGGTGTGAGGAACTAATATATTGACGAGGATAGTTCTCCTTAAGTGCCTAGAACGCACGTTTTGAACCCTCTCCCCATCAAAAGGTTTGTTTCTTTTTTGGGCCCCGAGTAAGATTGGTCCTCTAGGTAAATGAATTATGGATCCAGTTGTGTGTTCATATTTTGAGCGTGGAACTTTTAGATTGGTTTCAATATGATTCTGGCAAATTGATGGATGGGATGCTCATATTGTTCATTTTTTCATTCCTATGTGTTGGTAAAAGTTTTTGGTTGAAGGAATGGACTAGTTTTGCGAAGCTGTTTGTGTGGTGCAATGTTGAATTGCAGCAACAAATATGCTGTTTAAATTTTAATGCAGTGTGCAATTTTCAAATTTTCATTGCAAAGTATTGGGCTCAAAACACAAATAGGGTACCATTCTGAATTGAGGCTTTGTAGAGATGGGAAATTTGGAGGTTTTGTGGTGGCTTCTCCTCTTTCTTTTCTTCAATTCTGCTTCTTATATTTAAGCTGCCACTCTTTGAAAGTCTAACCTGGTTAAGAGGGGAAATACAAAACGCAACAGAACACAGTCTCACAAGAAGGCCTTCCTTACTTTTCATTGTTGGGAAATGGGAAAACCATGTGTTTTCCTGTAAGCGAGCCAACAAAACGTGTACATAAAGGCTGCAACCGTGCTATGTTTATTCAATTTCAGATGGATGAATACAAAACATTATGCTTTAAAAACCAAAGTTTTATGCAACCACAGATATAAAGAAAAGCTCATGGCTATAATTCATCACATATTAAGATGTATTTATTTATCTTGTGCCTTGTCATGTCCGTGTCCTACTTTTTTTCAGACTTATCATGATGGCTTGTCAGAGTAGTGTTGTGACTGGTGTCCCATGTCTTGCAGGCTTATAGAGAGGAACAATCAAAAAATAATTGGCTTGACTTAAAATATGGGAGAAATTTCTCACATACCAAGCTATTAAAAAATGTGATTAAAAGGGGAGCATATGCCATCAGACTTGACCAAAATGGTGTCAACGAAGGCTATAAATAAAATTACCTCATAAAGGGAAAAATCAATAGCATTTTATTTACCTGTGACATAAAGCGTGGGAGCATGAATTTTAATGTTTGTTCTAGGACTTGGGTGCCAGTTGATTCAATTGCTTGCACTGGAATTGCTCGAAATGCAAAAGGAATCTCAATGTTAACCTGAATATCACATAGCAATGCAAAAGGCTTTTACAGTAAGAACATTTACTTGGAATGATATTCAACAGCCAGAAGAGAAGCCATTCTCTATAACCACCTCAATAACTGCATCTGAACTAAGTTGCTGGACTGGTGAGGTGCTCTGTTTGCTATCACATGATATTCTATTCACCATAAAAGCTGCATGCCCATACCAAATAAAAGTCAAAGCATTCCAGGAAAAACATTATGTAATCAATTCAGAATCAAATGACAAAAAATTTGATAACCAATTATTGGTCCAGCAAAAAAACTCCTGTAGTAATTGTTTCCGTCGAATTCCTGAAGATTGATGGCACAAATGTTCCGCCTCCTTTAGAATCTTTGGAATTGACATGTACTATAATCACGACAGCTGCTGTCCACTGTTTAGCATCACTAGAAGCAACGCAAATGTCCTCCGGTTTATGAGAAGTTGCAGCAATATCCCTTTATTACACAATGTGTCATGTGGCAAATAACCATTGGCTGGCCACGGCAGTGATCNAGGTAGATTGTGTACAGCTGCTGTCCACTGTTTAGCATCACTAGAAGCAACGCAAATGTCCTCCGGTTTATGAGAAGTTGCAGCAATATCCCTTTATTACACAATGTGTCATGTGGCAAATAACCATTGGCTGGCCNAATGCTATGAATTACACAAATCTAAAACAGTATATAAGTGTATTACGTAGAGGGCGTTTGCCAACTGGAACCCGCATGGACTCTCTTCGTCTTGCGACGAATCGTGCTTTTGGTGATGAGGGGGCAGAATCGGNTTATGAGAAGTTGCAGCAATATCCCTTTATTACACAATGTGTCATGTGGCAAATAACCATTGGCTGGCCACGGCAGTGATCGTAATGTACACTGCTAAATTGTGGGAGTAAGTTTGTAAACCCATTACAACCATGATTCTTAAATTTAAACAAATTTTCTGGACAATGGCACATCTTCCAAAGATATTTGAACACTAAGAATTACCTGGAACTAAGGTTAAAAATAACAAATCTTTGTAAGATACAAAGAACCTCAAGTAATTTTAGAAGCATACACCACAACTGCATTCTTTAACCTCTTTCATTTCCCAAGGAATATTTTTTTCTAATGGTTTACAGGATATGATTCTGGCTCAGTCAATCAAAAAAACTGAATACACTTCAGGTTGTGAATGTCACGGGATTATTTGGCAATTCCTTACAAACTACAGATGTCAAACGAGAGAAACTATACCTGACTGAAGTGCCAAATCAGAGGTTTGGGATACTGGCACATTATTTCTACTGTTGCGAGTTTTATATTTGCCATAGTCCCAAACTGAACTCATATTTGCCAGTTTTTCCCAATATGAATATATACAAGTTATAAACGGCAAGAAATGGGAACCAAACAAAGCACTTTGTCATAGCAATGTCGTATAGTACAATTACAAGTAAATACTTGTATAATTTCACTGACATTTAGCTACAAACAAGAAAAACTGAACAAAAAATTACCATCAAACTTATCATTCTGTGCAACAACTATTGGCGATCCCTCAAGCTGCATCAAAGTAATCAAAAATCAAGCATGAAAAAACCTAACAGCAAATTAGAGAAAACTAAGGATATATATCTGTACCTTGCAAGACAAGAGCTTAATACAACAACCATTAGGCTGCTCTTCAACTCTAACCAACAAAACCGGGCACACCTCAAAAGCAAAGAACTTCAACTTATACACATAACACCTGAATGTACTGTCATCAACCCTCTCGATCCTTTCGGCGTCCAACACAGAGTACTGACTCGCTGGAAGGCTCATATATTCAACTACAACAAACACACAATCCAAAATTTCCGTTCCAATTACACAAATACAAAACAATAATGCTATGAATTACACAAATCTAAAACAGTATATAAGTGTATTACGTAGAGGGCGTTTGCCAACTGGAACCCGCACGGACTCTCTTCGTCTTGCGACGAATCGTGCTTTTGGTGATGAGGGGGCAGAATCGGCTGAAATGCGAAACGAGGGTTTCGGAGATTCATCTGAAGAGGATGAGAAATTGAAGTAGACATGCCGAAGAGAAAGGCGAGTTCTAGGGTTTCTGAAGTGGAATGAAGTTGAGCTTAAGTGTGTGGAAGAAGTGCACACTGCCATTTTCTTTTTGATTTTATTTATTTATTTATTGCTTAACTTTATAGAGAAACAGAAAACGGTTCATAGTAGGAGATGTCGTTGAGGATAAGCCAATTATCAGTGTGCTGAGCAGCGTTGACGTAGCTACAGATGCGTACGTTAGCTACAAATGGGTTACCTTGCTAACATGCGCAGAATACGTAAGGCTTAGTTCACACCAAGACAAATGAAGCCATCGCGAAGCGTCAAGAGTACTGCTAAACATGGATGGCATGACGCACACAATCTCACCGTCTCGAGAGTTTAAGGCCAAATTATACTTTAGTGCCCCCAACTATAACTCTTTTTCCATATTACTCCTTAAACTATCATATTCTTTACATTATATGCACAATTACATGATCAGATTCGCCTGCCCCAATTAATAACGCCCAAACGTTTAGGGTAACCTGAAATGCGCCAGCAAATATCAAAACACACGATTCGACAATCAAACGAATCGAACGGAATTGAACGCATAGCCATCTCAACTCTTCAAAATCCGAGAAATGTCCCAAATTTCAACAGAAAACACGAAGAATCGACATGTAACTAGGGCAAGATGGTGGTCACAGATGCATATGTTTTGTCGGCTACAATACTTACAAAAATGGCCCTCAGAAGTTCACATCACTTTGAATTCTTCTTAAGAATATCGACAAACCAATGAAGCAGATAAAAATAAAAATCAAATAGAATGGTGTAGGAAATACTACCAAAAACAAGAAATTTCATTCAGAATGGTCAAAGGATTACACAAATTGATCACAAAACACCAACCCTTTACAACCCAACACAAACCCTAAATTCAACTACAAACCAAACCCTAAAAACTCAAGAACTGGTGAACTTGGTAACGGCCTTAGTCCCTTCAGAAACAGCATGCTTAGCCAATTCACCAGGAAGCACAAGCCTCACAGCAGTCTGAATCTCCCGAGACGTAATCGTAGGCTTCTTGTTGTACCTAGCGAGCCTCGAAGACTCCTGAGCGAGCTTCTCGAAGATGTCGTTGATGAAACTGTTCATGATCCCCATGGCCTTGCTTGAAATTCCGATGTCTGGGTGGACCTGTTTCAGGACCTTGAAGATGTAGATCTTGTAGGTCTCCACCGACTTCTTCGATCTCTTCTTCTTCTTATCCGCCGCCGACGACGACGACTCTTTCGGTAGCTTTTTACCGGCCTTTGGGGCCTTCTCCGCCGGAGCTTTCTCCGCCGCCGGTGCCTTCTCCGCCGCGGGCTTCTTCTCCGCTGGCTTCTTCTCTGCCTTCGGTGCCATTTCTAGAGAGAGAAAGTTGGTATAACACGAGAGAGAGGAGGTGAGGACTTGTGAAATTGAAGGGAGAAGATGTAGTCAGAAATTGAGAAATGTGATTTTAAAGAAAGCTGATTTTGTTTATATAGGAATCTGATGATGTGTTGTGATTGGTGGAAAATGGAGTGTCGCGGATCGTGAATTTAGACCGTTTAGATTGATGCTAAATGGACGGTGTAGATTATGAGGTGAACTGTTTCACACACTTTTTCGTTTTGGACGCTGCGATTGGTTGGTTTTATGTGACACGGATCGAGTATTTGGACCGTTGATCGTGATATAGACTGGCGGTGGAGATCGAACAGGGTGAAATTGAATTTGCCTACGCTATTTATTTTCAAACTGCCGCCATGTATGTGGCCAGACCCAGACGATAGTGAGCGTCGGATTATACTCTATCCATTGAGCATTTTGTGTTGGGTTACCATTTAAAAAAGGTTAATCTCATTTTACGTCTCGAAAGATCGTTCGAATCTCAATTTGTATCTTCAAAGAGCAAAAATCTCAATTTTTACCCTCAAAGATAGAAATTTGTATCAATGTGTACCCCCAAAGATCAAAAATCTCANTCCATGTCGAAAGATCGTTCGAATTTTAATTTGTACCTTCAAAGAGTAAAAATTTTAATTTTCACCCTCAAAGATAGAAATTTGTATCAATGTGCACCCCCAAAGATCAAAAATTTTAATTTGCACTCTCAAAAATAGAAATTTGTATCAATGTACACCCCCAAAGATCAAAAATCTCAATTTGTACCTTAAAGGATAGAAATTTATATCAATGTGCACCCCAAAGATAAAAAATCTCAATTTGCACTCTCAAATATAGAAATTTGTATCATTATGCACTTAAAACTAAATTGATAAATTATACCTAGATCTCCTCATGTTTGTCACTTAATCATTTGGACCTCTTTACATTTATAATATTACTCCTACATCTCATAACATTTATGCACGTACAACATGTAACTCATTTTCATTGATATCTGTTAATATAACCGTTAAAAAATATAATTTTATCCTAATAAAAAATTATAATTTTATATTACCCTTATTTTATGGGTCCAATATACTCTAAAATTCAAAATCAAGCTTACCATTTGAATGTCTAATAAAATGTAGATATTTATATAATGTTTTTCATATTTTCCTTTATATAAATATCTACATTCTATTAGACATTCAAATGGTAAGCTTGATTTTGAACTTTAGAGTATATCGAATCCACAAAATAAAGGGTAATATGAAATTATAATTTTTTATTAGGATAAAATCATATTTTTTAACGATTATATTAATAGATATCAACGAAAAGTGGTTATGTTTACACATGTATAAACGTCATGAGATGTAGGGGTAATATTCTAAATGTGAAGGGGTTCAAATGATTAAGTGACAAACACGATGGGATCTAGGTATAATTTATCAATTTAATTTTAGGTGCACATTGATATAGATTTATATATTTGAGGGGGTAAATTGAGATTTTTGATTTTTGGGGGTGTACATTGATACAAATTTCTATCTTTGAGGGTGCAAATTGAGATTTTTGATCTTTGAAGGTGCAAATTGAGATTCGAACGATCTTTTAGAGTGTAAAATGAGATTAACCCTTTAAAAAAAATGTTATTTGTAATAATTTATTAATTTAATCGGTTAATAACATTTTTAGTCTTTAAATATATATATTTTGTCAATTTGATTTTCATTATATTAATTTTATCAATTTAATTTTTAAAGTTTCAATTTGTATGACTTTGATCCCTTTATTTGATAGTTCGTTACGTTTTGTTATAGAAATAATTACGTGTCAGTTTTTCAGACGATATCATGTATCCAACACATGATCATTCCATCAAAAATTTAATGGTTCTTCAATGTATATATCATTTAAACACGAATTAAATATTTTGGGGATCAAATTATTAAAATTAATATTGTAAGGACCAAATTGACAAATAGAGCATACTTTGTGGACCAAAAATGTTATTAACCCTAATTTAATTTATTATAGTCGTTGAATTGATAATAAATTCTAATAAATAGTATAACTAATTGTAAATCTAATATTATTAAATCAGTAAATCAGGTTCAAGTAATACTGTTTAATGAATATATAACATATTAGGGCATTGTTCGGAGCAAATTCAATATCTCCAATAACAGTATAATCGCCTAGATGACCCTCAACTCCGGCCTTCTTACAACGAATCGAGTTAACAAAATTTATCCCAAACTCGTGACTCTTTGAAAACAAATCATTTGGTAAACGGCTTAAAATGGAACAATAAACAAATTCTTGATGTTATTGACATGCAATTTTAAGAGTAAAAGCAAATAATACAACCATTATCCCCAATAAGCATCCCCTAATTCATGAAGCAACGGTTGACGGTTTTTTTGGTGTTGAATTTCTATTTAGAAGATGATGAATTTTTTTTCAATTTAGTGGATGGTTTTATTTAGAATGCACTCACATGTTGCTCGTTCTAACTAGTTCCATTTTTCAATTAAATTTTTACCGTGTGATTCTATTAACAGTGGGTTCTTCTTGAAAGTTCTTCGTAAATTGGGAAATATATTGAATTAAATAGTTGTTCTCTAAATCGTGAATTTTATGTTGATTTTCTAAGTTTAATCACGGTGAAAAGCTTATCGATAGGGAGAAGAAACCAAAGCTATCTATCTAAGTGTTATATACACAAAGAAAAAATTCCTAATAGACTTCCAGCTCAACCATGTGCCTTGGATTCGTGCTCTGTACTTCTATCCGTAAGGTCTTTTGATGGACTTGATTGCTTCTTGAGGTGCATTGCTGATTTGGCTTGGTGACTTGGCTGTTGCCTTGCTGGAGATACAGATCATACAAGTACTAATACTTCCTCGCAAGATGGAGAGTACGTATATATTGCATACTCTCAACTTGAGGAGAAGAAAATAAAAAGGATTAAATGGTAAAACCTAGTTAAGATATCAGCTAGCTTAAGATGTGAATGTATGTATGCAGTAGAGATCACCCCTTCTTGAATTTTGTCTCAAATTAGATGACAATCTAAGTCAATGTGTTTTGTACATTCATGAAAAACAAGATTATGTGCAATATGGAGAGCTGACTGGTTGTCACAATAAAGAACAACAAGTTGATCATGAGGAGTGGAGAAATCTTCAAGAAGATACTTAATCCAAGTCTACTGATAGTGAATCAGCATTAAAAATATAATTTATTTATCTATTATTGATATCAATTTATTTAATTATTAAAAGTATCATCAATCGACGAACAACGAGGGAAATCCCCTCATCATCATATGTCAACGCACTCTCGTCCTCTTCCTTGAAAACCTCGTCCTCCACCTGGTACTTCTCCTCATGGTTAGCCTCTTTAGTAACAACCAAATTTATTTCTCCCCGCTTAGGGCACTAATTAGAACGATGTCCTGGCTGACCACATCAATAACATTTATCTCCTTTGGTCTGACGTAAGGATTCTTCAATGGACGTTGGTTATTGGACCAAACTCGAGGCTACTGCCCTTGTAAATACCCTGGTTGTTATTAGAATTTCTCCCTGGAATTGCAGAAGGGCTCGAGGTACTCACAACCTGTTTTCCTTGGTTCACCATAGGACGCGATGAATCAAAAGAACTTTGATTCTGCACCTGGGCCCTTGCCCTGTCTAACTATGTTTCCACCCTCGTGGCTAGGTGGATTATTTTAGTCAAAGAAAATAGAGTCCATAAAGAAACTCTATCCTAAATGGTAAAACGCAAACCCCCAATGAACAAAGTGATCTTCCGAGACTCGGTCTCAGTCAAGTTATTGGGGGAAGAAAGTCTCTTAAATTCCTCTGTATATACTTGAACTATTCTATTGCCTTGCTTGCAATCTTGATACTGTAGGAATAAAGGTAAAAACCTCAATCTAAGCAACCTCTTCATCTTCAACCAAACACGGATTAGAGGCTTGCCTTCCCTAGTACGAGCGAGTTGGATTTGCTTCCACCAAGCAGAAGCCCCTCCATTTTATTTGTTAGCCACCAACTTCACTTTCTTTGCCTCTTGAATATCTATGTAGTCGAGGAATCGCTCCACCTCTGTCAACCAGTCAAGGAAATCCCTAATATGAAGATGTCCATTGAAATTGGGTAGGTCAACCCTTATTTAATAATCTTTGTACTCACATCCAAGATCTTTATAACAACGCTATTCAAAAAATCATCATCGTCATCATTGAAATCTACAATGGGTGCTGCTTTAGGAGGAACACCACATACGTTTTGTCTTGTTGGAGAGACAGAATTTTGATCTCGATTTGGTTGAGCACGAGCCCTATTGACATTTTGTCTATGGAAAAGGTGACAAACGTGGTTTAGGCTACACACCACCAACATAGACCATGTTTTTTAAGGGTATTCCCAACCCATCACTCCATGAGTGAAACTAGTCCATCAAAGACTAAAAATGGTAAGGGTAGGAATTTAAAGAAGCTAGTTATTAAGGAAACTCAAGTCAATCTTAATGTGTGTTTCACTTATGGAAAACATGGCCATCACAGTTCACATTGCAAGAAAATATAGGAATGTCTTGAATAAGAAGCTCATGCATCTAGAAAACCAATTAAGGGTTTATATGATCAAGTCATGAATTTTTCTATACTTTTGGAGAGGTCAAGTTAGTCTAAGCACACACATGCATCATCTTCTAAAGGCTCACATGCTAAATTGCATAGAGCAAGGATTGCTAAAACTGTTGGGATTGTTGTTGTTGTTGTTGTCGCAGGAAGTCCCCTTCTTTCTCTCTCTTGACCAATGCTCCGACTTCACTCATTCAAAAGGTTAGTCGTTGTCACACAGGTCTATCGACCAGATTTCTTTATCAGCAAAGGACCAACATTGTCTAGTAACCATTCTGAGTGGGTGTACGAGACTAAGAGAACCTTACAAGATTTTCACTATAAAAAAAGAGGATATGTACTAGACAGTAGACATTAATGGCTATAAGTTGGAACTAGGGTACCGAGATTGCAATGATCGCTCAATAGTAGTGGTGGCTATTAT